CATGCCACACGTTGATGCTGGAGCACAGGATGCTCTCCACTGCACACCTGTAGAAGGAGGTGAGGACTGAGCTTCCCAGACCAGCTCGCCTCAGCCGTCTGAGGAAGTAGAGTCTCTGATGAGCTTTCTTGATCAGGCTGGTGGTGTTGTTGCTCCAGCTGAGGTTGTCATTCATGTGTACACCCAAGTACTTGTAGCTGGAGACCACTTCCATCACAGATCCTCTTATGTTCAGGAGGGTGTAGAGGTTTTTGTTCCTTCTGAAGTCCACAATCATCTCCTTTGTCTTCTTCACATTGATGTGAAGGTTAATCAGGTAGTTTATAATAAAACATTATTCTTTAGCAGTTTGCCACTTTTGTTACTTCGACCTATTAGCTAACAAACTGCCTTAATTTTCATTACTCTGTTATTTTAGTTTTTAAGTAGGCTTTTGATTGTTTATAGCACACATTTTGCGTTTAGCTTTTAGCCAGCCTTTTGAGTTTTATTGTTTGGCTAGCATTGGGCTGCATTTTTATTTAGCAATATGCTATTTTTTGTTAGTGTTTTGCTACTTTGAACCAGCAATTTGCGACATAGGTGAAGCACCCACACATGCTTCCACCCTCATTTGCTTCTGGGCCCTTGAGCAAGGCCACTACCTGCTCCCCTGGTCACCCTAGATGGCTGCTCTCTGCTCTGTGGTAGCTCAGTGGTCTGTGGTTGTGTCAGGAAGAGCATTCGGCATAAAAACAATTGCCAAGTCTTCATGTGAGTTAGGTCACTGTGGCGACCCCTGAAGAAGGGAGCAGCCGAAAGACAGAGAGGAGAGAAAAAAAAAAGAAGAAGCTTTTAGCTCATGTTTTGCTACTTTTAGCGAGCATATACTTCTTTTAGCTTTTAGCTAGCATTGCACTATTGGTGTTCGGCAAGCGCTTTGCCTGTTTTAAATTCTTAGCTCATGTTCTGTTTCTTTTACCTCCACCGTTTCAGCTTCTTCAGCAAACTTCAGCAGTCATTCAGCACTCAGCCTTCACCCTGTATTGTAAGAAATTGTCATTTTTCTAGTTCATAGTGAATCCTCAGCCGCATTTTCATGAAAGTCAATATTAAATCTAGTATAAAAACGTCACACCATGATGTATTTCTCAGAAAAAACAGGGGGAAAAACTTTGTGTTGGCCCAAGACACTAACAAGGCAAAACATTTTTTAAACTTTTGTGCATTCAGCATGTGATGCAGTAAGAGCAGAGATGAATGAACACAACGTTTAGTCAACACAAGCAGGCACTTCAGTCAACCTTTGAATAGATAATGAACTTTCTCTTTATCAGTTCTTCTCAGAGTAAAAAATGTTGAGTTGCTCCACGGATCTGCTGGAAATCACAACATGACTGTTTTACCAGCTTGCTTGCTGAGAATTACACATGCTGTCTCTTCTAAACCCAGATAAATACTCAATACGCACAGTATATTTGATTTTCAACTACACAACGCAAAAAAGCCAAAACGTCACCAAATAATAGTAATAATAAAGTCTAAAAAAATTCAACCTAACACTTGTTCAGCTGTAATTTCTTGAGAACAACTTTTCCAGGTTTCAGCACCTAGTGTGAAACTGTTGTTTAAGGTGGTGTTTTATCACCTGTAAATGCTGGTTTGGAACAATTTCAGTCTATCTGAACAAAACAGCTTCAGCCTCAGGATGTTGGAAGGTTTTTAATCACATGAGCTATTTACTTCAGGTCAGTCAAAAGCATTTCTACTGAATTAATGTCAAAAATTTGACTTCCAAGTAATTAAATTGACTTTTAGCCAATTTTAACTTTGAAAAGCACACATATACCAGTAATATTGCTGCACAATCCACTTTTCTGTCATTATTGCACGTAGCCAAAAGGTGGGCAATAATGTTTTTGCCTCTGTCTTTGTCACAAGAATGGAATACCCAGAGTGATGATGAACAACTCAGACACAAATGTATCAATTCCGTGCTTTTATTTACAGTGAGCAATAATTCAGAATCTGACAGAAACCTTGATGGAGGTCCAGAGTTCTTAACAGATTTTAATTAAGCTCTTAGAAAATCATCATCTACTTCTGGTCAACTTTTGGAATCGACCCGAGTCAAGATGGCTGCCGCTTAGCCAACAAAAAAATAACAATAAGTCAGTCAGTTAAACAAATATTGAAATAATGTTTTGTGTGATAGTAGCTCAGATGGATCCCAGCAGATCTCTGAACATTTTTATTTAAAACTGTTGCACTAAAGTTAGTCATGGAGTTCCTCAGGGTTCAGTGCTTGGACCAGTACTTTTTACCTTATATATGTTTCTATTAGGTAAAGTTATTAAACAGCATGGGATAAATTTTCATTGTTATGCTGATGATACAGTTATATTTGTCCATGGAACCCAATGAATTCAATCAGCTACTTAGACTACAAGCATGTCTTAAAGATATAAAAACCTGGATGGCCCTAAATTTTCAGCTTTTAAACTCAGACAAGACAGAGATTTTGGTTTTTGGACCTGAACATCTAAAGAATAAATTTTGTAGTCTGTCACAAACTCTTGATGGCATTACTTTGTACAGTGCCCTGAGATGACTTTGTGACTTGTGCTCTATTTAAATAAACTGAACTGAAACAGAGTTCTGCAATGTGGTTTTTATCAGAACGTGCAGGTTCCTTACTAGTAGATGGATGGTAAGTAGTTTGGTTCCAAAGTCCTGTACAATTGTGAGAAGGTCCAGTAGACTCAGGAGGGCATGTGGTTGGAGGGCGAGGAGAACAGCTGAAAAGCGGTTTCCAGAGGTTCATTATAGAGTCAGAGTCAGAGATTCTTTATTGTCATTCGCACCACATGGATGGTGGAGCGAAATTATGTACACAGGGTCCCAGTTACATCCAACAATAAAATGTATAAGAAAAACAGTAATAAGATCTAAGATATGAACTAAGAAAAACATCAACTAAATATACACTAAGCACCAATAACATAAAAACACCACGTCAAACATCAGCACAAACATGAACATGAGTCTGTGTGAGCAGATGAGCACGCATGAACACATCATTGAAACAGATCAGCGGCAACATGATGTAATTTTTTCACAGTGATTATTTTGGTTTATTGATTCATGAGTCTAACAGCCTCAGGGTAGAAGCTGTTCCTCAGTTTAGTGGTTCTACACTTAATGCTCCTTAACCTCCTTCCTGAGGGGAGCGGGGCAAAAAGTGTGTGTGCTGGGTGAGTGGGGTCCTTCTTGATGCAGGTGGCTCTCTTCCTGCATCTGGAGGTGTAGATGTCTGTGATGGTGGGGAGGCTGATACCGACAGACTTCTGTGCAGCCTTCACCACTCTCTGCAAAGCTTTTCTTTCTGCAGCTGTGCAGCCTCCATGCCACACGTTGATGCTGGAGCACAGGATGCTCTCCACTGCACACTTGTAGAAGGAGGTGAGGACTGAGCTTCCCAGACCAGCTCTTTTTCAGCCATCTGAGGAAGTAGAGTCTCTGATGAGCTTTCTTGATCAGGCTGGTGGTGTTGTTGCTCCAGCTGAGTTTATCGGTGCACCCCCATTTCCTTAATTTTGGGAAATCGGCTGATACTTGCATGAGAAACTGATTTGACCTTTTTTTTAGTTTTAACAATTGTCTGAACTTCATTTATATTTCAGAGCACTGACTCATGGCCAGTTAAAACAAGTTTGTATTGTTTCTAGGATATTGTTCAAGGGTATGTTTTTCAAGAAAATAATATTGGATAATTGAAGGTGCATTGTGACCTTATAACACTTGACAGTGTAGCTTGTAAAACAAAATTGGTATCAGTCAAAATTGGAATCGGCAGGTCAGACTTTTTAGAAATGGTGATTGGCCAGAAAACTGCAATTTGTGCACCCCTATTGTAAATATACAAAATTCCAGAATTGCGCTGCTCAAGGTGGCTGCATGTTGGAGTAGCTCTCTTACATTCATTCTGAGATTTTGCTTTTGAAACTTTAATTCCTCTTTTTTCTGGATGTAAATCGCTTTTTTCGGATGATTGTTTCCTCAGGTATCAGCTACTGTGCAGCTGGAAGGATTCTTATTGAAACCTTTTTTACTTTTGTATATTAGTTATGATGAGTAACCATAACAACAACAAGGTGGTTTGCTACAACAGCTAATTAACATCTCAAAAGTTCAAATAATACCTCAACTACAGCCCCAAATCCCAAATGGGTTGAAAAGGAGGCACCGTGGATGCATTACCACCTACCTGGAAGCGGTGCTAGAGAGTCTGACTGCTGAGATCTTTGAGGTGGCGGGAAATGCAGCTTGTGACAGTGGGAGGACTGAGCTTGTTCCCCGGCATCTGCAGTTAAGTCTGCGGCGACGAAAGTCTTGGCAAGCTGCTGGGAGAAATGTCCATCGTTCGGGGAGGAGTTCTGCCTGGCATTCAGGCAGTCTTGCAGCCCAAGAGGACTGAGAGGTCTGCTGGGTCTGGATGGACGGATCAGCATCTACAGCCAGTTTCTTCGGATCCGCTGTGGGACGGACTTCTACAAGAGATCCTTCCTGCCGACAGCCATCAGCATCTATTAACAACTCTAATGAAATCAGAATGATGAGGTATAACAACAATCAATTTCCCTTTAGGATTAATAAAGTATTTTTGAATTGAACTGAATATGGTAAATGAACAGTACTTATATAGCGCCTTTCTATCTTATCAAGATACTCAAAGCGCTTTACACAACAATCTGTCCCTCATTTACCCATTCATACAGCACTCTACTAGATCTATACAAAGAATAATCAGTGCTTTATCACATTCATACACTGATGGGACACACATCAGAGGCAATGAGGGGTTCAGTGTCTTGCCCAGGGACACTTGGCGTGTGACTGTTGGAATCGAATCCCCAACTCTTACATTGAAGAACAACTGCTCTAACCGCCACAGCCGCCCTAATATAGAAAATATTACCTTGTATCTCTTTTTTATTTCTTGCCAATCTACCACAGACACCAACATGGTTCAGTGTATTTGTTTTGAACAAATGTATGTTCTTCATTTGACTAAATACTTTCATCTTAAGACAAACGATGCATCACCTGATCAGAAAACACACTTACATACAATTCAATTTTTTTTTCAACTGCATCTAGCTGGAGTTGCCTTATCTCATAAAGTTTTTCAAAGTGTAGATACATAATTTTTGCAGTAATTTGGGTAAAATGCGGTAACTGCGTTTCCTTTTTCACTCTGTGTGTGTGTTTTGTATGCTGTGTTTACAGATCAATGCTGTGTGTCTTCACTTAGATTACTTTGATAGAGTTGGAACAGGAACCTGGGGAGATTAATCAAAGTGAAGGGGCACCGACTCCCGGCCCGTGCCAGTCGATACGACTGCGTGGTTAATTCGCCCCGAGGAGGGCTGTCGTCGGGCAGATGATAAACAGTGTTTGCCCCGTTTTTTTGCCACGAGCGTGCTCCTGCTCGCCAAGAAAAATAGTTTCGACCCGTGGTCTCTAATTCACAGTGGGGGGTGAGAGGTGGGACATTAATCATCCTTCTGCTGTGGCCCGTCTCCGACAGGCGCGCCGTCCAGGGTGGACTGGGTGGAGATGTTCGGTTTGCAGGTAAACCCTGCAATAAAGGCATTCGTCTGGTTGACCTTGTAAAGATGCAAACACAAATGCTTAACGAGAAACAAACAGGCGCTGAAGGTGTATTTTTGTGAGCTTCACGAGGCATTAGAGAAATGGCTTGCATCCAACAGAACTCCATATGTACTTCAGGGATTTCGGCGCTTTCTGAAAAACAGAAGCGATGCAACAATCGGTGACATTGACCTCCCTTCAGTTTTCCCGATCCTCAGATTGAGAGACATCCTTTTAATTGTATGCCTGAAACGGCGACGGAGAGAGAAATAATTGAGGATATCACAACGTGGAGCTTTGCCAAGTCTGCTCCTTCTCCCCCAACCCTCTCTCTCTCTCTCCTTTCCCAAGGATGGAGTGCTGGAGAATTGAAAGCTTTTAATACCAGAGAGTTGAGGCTTTGCTCCAGTCATCATTTCCATGCCGCTTTACGCTGATTCCCTAATATCCTTAGCGCTGTGCGTGGGGATAAGCCCATCGTGCTGAAACATGGCTGTCATGCCTATAAATCGTTCACGGCTCTAAAGAATCCATTATGGCTGCTCCACAAACATGGGGACTCAAAGGGCCACTTTTCTCAAGCTCATTTACTCTTTTAAACATATTTATTTACAGTTGGTGCGGCGGCGGGGGGAGAGCTACAATATGCATCGTTGCAACAAACTGGATTTAAGCCTAAGTGGTCATTCACACCACGAATCATACATTTAATGTGTCCAAGTTCATCCTCTGACAATGCACACGTTGATCTCGTGTTGCACGTTAGATGCTGTTCAGTTTGCGATGGGTTTGTGCCAATAATCAACGTGTTCTGTGGGAGCAAAGACAGATGAGCGTCAAGTAAAATGTACTGAGAAAGACAAAGGTGATTAAGATTTAAGATGTATACTCAACCACAGACCAAGCACAGGTGGATGGACGAGTTCTCCATCAAAAAGCAACATCAGACATTAAATAATTGCTATGGAACTTTAATAGATCGCAAAATAATGAGCCCGTTGTTTCATTAGAATTGCTGCACGTATTTCCCATTAAATAATTATTGTTTCTTATTTATACCATCCTTTTGATTGGCATTCAAGTTGGATTTTTATTTATTTTCTATGTCCAATTTACCCTGCGATGTACAGATAAATTTGTTTTTAGCCTTTTGTTAAAGAAAAAACACAAATGCTACTGAAATAACTCGAACCTGACAAAAGTAACAGGAAGGAAAAAACACTGAGAATCAGCTAAAGAAAGTAAATTATTGTGTAAATGTTTATGAAGCATTCACTCTATTATGAGCCATTTTTCTTCCACACATTTTTCAGCATCTTTCTTGTTTTTCACAACTTTTGTGCTATTTCAACAAATCATATATCAAAACATTCAGCTTATTCAGGAAAGGGTTCTATGACATTTGGTATTGGTGAAACTTTAGCTTTTTGAAATATCTAGCCTTTTCTGACTTTTTTTCCTCATAGAAAATGAAGTGAGCTCATTTTACATTCTTCAACTCTTTAGATCTGTTTACAACCTTTTACTGCTCCTTTCACATTTTGTTCTGGTTCAGCTTCCTTGTGCAAAAAAAAAAAAAAAAAAAAAAAAAATCAGCTACTTTCAGCTATTTTCTGCTTTTTTTTTTTTAATTTTTTTTAGCTGTTTTGTGCTCCTTTCAGATACATTCTTCTAACTAAAGATTTTGTGCTTCTTCTAACTTATTTTTTTTGCTAATTTCAGCTTGTTATGCTCCTTTCAGTTAATTTTTGGTAGTTTCAGTTATTTCAGCTACTATTTATCTGTTTTTATGCTACTTTATGCTTTTTCAGCTATTTTTGGCAATCATTTAACATTTTTTCAGCATAAATCAGCAACAACATGCGTGCTGTCCACTTCCTTATGGAAGCTTAAGCGTCTTTCTGCTCTTTTAGCTACTTTTCATCTGTTTTTTTTGTTGGTTTTTTTTCAAATTTAAGCTTTTTTCAGATAATTTCCACTTTTTGTGCTCATTTCTGCATCTTTCAGCCTAATGTGTCCTTTCTGCTTTCTTCAGCTAATTTAAGCTTGTTCTAATGCTAAATGCTCATTTCAGCTTGTTATGCTGTTTTTCTGCTAGTTTCAGCTCTTTCTGCTATTTCAGCTACTATTTAACTGTTTTTGTGCTAAATTTAGCTTTTTAAGCCAATTCAACAGTATTCAGCTCGTTTCACCTCTTTCTGCTTCCTTCTGGTAGTTTAAGCTTCTTTCTAGCCATTTCAGCTTTTTTTCCCTTCAGCTAATTTCCTTATTTTTGTGCTCATTTCTGCTTATTTAAACCAAATTCAGCAAATATGTGTTATTTCTGCTTTCCTCTGCTGATTTAGGCTTGTTCTCCCCCCCCCCCCCCCCCCCCCCAACAAAAAAAAAAAAAACTAGTGAAACTGACTTTGACTGAAAGGATACCTTTAACTTCGGAGGCAATCCAGTGAATGCTGTAACTCCGTCTGAGACCTCTGCACCTGTCCTCAGGTGTTTTAGCCCACTCCTGATCAAACTGCTCCTGTTGTCTCAGGTTTGAAGGGTTGCTTCTCCAGATTGCACATTTCAGCTCCTACAAATGTCCAACAGGATCTAGATCAGGACTCAGGAGGCCACTCAGAATAGTCCAATTTGGTTCTGAGCTGTTCTTTTGTGTCTTTATGTGAGTTTGGGCTCGTTATCCAGTTGAAGGACATGACCTGCGACTCAGACCAAGCTATTAGACACCAAGCAACACATTTCACTCTTGAACTGATGGTGACGATTCTCAGTCGTCCAGGTCATGATCAGTAAAAAAGGGTTACAAAACAAAAACGACTTCTAATCTGAACAACCTCTCCACAGACATATGGCAAGCTGGCTCTTCAGGACAAGGCTCAGCGGTCCACCTACGTCTCAACAATAAGGGACACTCATGATCATATTTTAGACAGAGAAGACAGGTGGTTTGAGAGGGGTGTGGTGGTGAAGGAAGCCACTTAAGTGAAACATGAAAAAAAACTTTGAACAGAGGAGCAGATTTCAACTTTCAAAACTTTACCCCTTGCAGCATCAGGCCTGATTCCCATGCAGTGCGCTAAAGCTTGGAACTCCACTCTCCAGACATTTTTGAATTGATAAAGCCTCCTGGAAGGGACGTGAAACACATTCAGCTTCAGAATAGAAGTCCAGTTGTTTTTGTTTTTTAATCCTTTTTATGGCTTCATAGTCTTGAGATTTTATTGTACACTGTGCAGATGTAAGACACCGTGTGCCCGATGCAGATGTTAGGATGAGATAATTGGAAACAGGTGAGAAGGCTGTAACAGAGTAAGTTGAAACCAGGAGCATGAAGAGCAAAAGCTCAGCCTGCTCACAGCTCCACCTGGAGGGAGGGAAATGAAAAGGAAAAGGGGGAAAGTTTCAGGAATTCTGAAACCTCACTGTCCTAACAATTTCATTCATATTCTCATTCTCGTCAGAATCAGATTTTACACATGTTTGACTGTGTTTAGTTCCCATTTCTAGTCAACTTTATGTTTTTATCCTTACTTTTTATTCACACACTGTCCCTTAACCTTTTTATTTTCACTTGTCCTGTATAAATGGTAAATAGACTGTACTTGTATACCATACCATACCATACCATACCATACCATACCACTTTGTTTATAAAGCCCTTAAAAACAGCAATAAGGCCAACCAAAGTGCTGTACAGCAAAAACAAACAAGCAAAGGACACAGCAATAAATACATAGATCCAAGTAGATAAAGATAAGCATTAAATGGCTGACATTGTAGAGTACAGACAAGTTAAAATCAAAGCACACAGTGTCAAAATCCAGGGAATAAAAGTGTGTTTTTAAGAGAGACTTAAAAACAGTGAGAGAGGGAGCCTGCCTGACATGCAGTGGTAACTCATTCCACAGTTTTGTACCTGCAACAGAGAAGGCCCTGTCACCTCTGAACTTAAGACGGATTCCTGGAACCAATAGAAGCATCTGATTCACTGACCTCAAAGAGCATTGTGGGACATATGGCTGCAGCAGATCAGCAGATTTAAAAACAAACAGAAGGATTTTGAACTGAATTTGAAAGTGAACCGGGAACCAGTGCAGGGAGACCAAAACTGGTGTAATGTGTTCTTTTTTGTTGTATCGGTTAAAAGTCGGGCTGCAGCATTTTGGACCAGTTGTAATAGTGCAATAGAAGTCTGACTGATTCCAAAAAGAAGCTCATTGCAGTAATTGAGCCTGGATGTTATGAAAGCATGAATTACTGTTTTAAGATAAAGTTTGGGCAGTATGGGCTTTAATTTAGACAGTTGCCTCAACTGAAAACCCCCCAAAACAAAACAGAATTTAACAATCGTGTTTACATGGCTGTTAAGTTTCATGGAAGGGTCCATTATCACTCCCAGATTAGTGACTCTTTGTTTCTCTAATGGGGCTAGAGAGGAAAGGTCGATACCGTGGTTCTTGATCATGCCATTAGGAGGAAACAACATGACTTCAGTCTTCTTCTCGTTAAAACCTAAGAAATTTAAAGCCATCCAGTCCCTGACATAAGCCAGGCAGTCAAGAAGAGGTTGAATAGAATGTGCACCAGTGTGCTTCAGAGGGAAGTAAATTTGACAGTCATCGGCATAGAAATGAAAGGGTATGCCATGTTTACGAAAAATAGCACCTAATGGCATCAAGTATAAAGAAAAGAGAAGAGGACTGAGGATAGACCCCTGTGGTACCTCCCACCGAGGAGCTGCCGATGTTGAACTAAAATCTGAGGGCTGACCCTCAAATACAGTATAGCGCCTTTCTATCCAATCAGAATACTCAAATCACTTTCTTGTCTGTGCACTCATTTGCCCATCCGCACACAGTAAAACAGCACTCTACTACATCTCTACAAAGATAATCAATCAAATCATTCTGTAGAGACTACCAGTAATCAGTGACCATACCATACCATACCATACCATACCATACCATACCATACCATACCATACCATACATTCATACACTGATGGGACATACAT